AGTTTCATTTGGAATGATCAGATCTTTTCAGATAAATCAAGTTATGTTGCATTTGGTCCTTGCAGTGATCAATTTAACTCATTTAAGATGGCAAAGATGTCAGCCAAGTAAGCTATTTTCTGCAGTTCGCTTGTATCGCTGAAAAGTACTTCGAACTATAGTCTTGCTTTCTGATTAAAAAACGTTTTGAGTTCATCGTGAAGCTCAAAAACAGGTTTTAAAACTTTTCCTCTCAACAACCATCTCACGTCAGTGAGAAATAGCGGAGCATGGTTCGGCGCATCCAACTCGTTGCACAGTTGCGAAAACAGTCGACTGTTTAAAGTGCTTGCCTTCACAAAAATAACAGAACTTATGATGCTTTTCATTACTTCTTCTAACTCTTGTGGCAGTGTCTTCGTTGCTAATATTTGTCAATGAATCATACAGTGAGTTCCGATGACTTTTGGTGACTCATTCAGTACCAAACATTGAAATCCAGATCAACATCCTAGCATAGCTGAAGCACTATCTGCAAACACCACCATTTCCCAAGAGATCTTATGCCAGTGGTTCTCAACCTTTCTAATGCCATGACCCTTTAATATACACTTCCTCATGTTGTGATCCCCAACCATAAAATTATTTTCGTTGCTACTTAATTTTGCTACTGTTATGAATCATGCAACCCCTCTGAAAGGGTCATTCGGCCCCCAAAGGGGTCTCGACCCACAGGTTGAGAACTACTGTTTTAGGCTTTTTTTAGAAATGAACCAACTGTGTCATTTATCGTGTGCAGTAGTTGTCGTTTCAAGAGGTTTGCAAAAAAGAAACATCATTAATATACCTCACGTAAACCACTAACCGAACTGAACAGTTTGCAATGTCTGTGGATTCATCAAGCTGGATGCTAAATATTGGAAGTGGAGCAGATTTAATTTCCTGGATTACCTGATCAAGAATATCAGTTGGATTACCTGATTAAGAGTATCAGCTGGCACGTCATCTCTTCTTCCTGCGGGACAGTGTCTTAGATGAAATTGCACTAAATTTCATAACAAATTCGTCTCCGGTCATAACTCGAACAATGTCTTTGGTTGCTGGCAACAGTAAATCCTTAGCAATGGTGTGAGGTTTCATAGCTCTGGCAGTTCTGAGTACCACCAAATAGGAGGCTTCAACGGCTGCTTAGGTTTTGTATGTGGTACTCGCCACCAGCGTTGGCTTTCTTGAATCCATCAGCTTTGCTTCTATAAAATAGTTGGTATCCTTGCCCGCAAAGCTCAGATGCTTGCTATCAAAATGGCGTTTTAGTTTGTTCGGCTTCATAAATTCTCCTGATAGAACTTCACAACAAATAATACATTGCAGTTTCTCAATTCCTGCTGTAATTATTGAGGTAAAACCATACTGTAAAAAAATCCCCACTATATTTTCTTAACGTTCTTCTCTACAAGATCCCATTGTCATGGGATGGTTTGCTAATGAAAATAATATATAACAATTAGCTTTAATAAAAGATACATGGCATAGTTCAGTCAATACGGTTCATTAAAGTTTCCTATGATTTACCATTCCGTGTTTTTTTTTAACATACCTGTTACTATCACAAGGGGCAGTATTCACATCATCCACAGCTGAATATAAAAAGACCGATCAGTATGCAGATTAAATTTCCATGGTACAGATTTTTTTTTTCAGTAGTTGATGATTTTACATTTACCCACGTGTGACTGGTCCACATAAGTACATTATGGCGCCAACCCTGTCACATACACCTGTATTTGTAAGGTGTGTATGTGATGGGGTTGGCACGATGATGTCATGCCTGGTACTCAGGTGTGGGCGGACCCACTTGGAGAAGGATAGAGAAGCGGTGTCTCGGTTCCTTAGACCATCGGAAAGAATGTGTGAGACAGCAGCTCTCTTGAGAAAGCGGTGACCTCTGGAAGATGGCTCAGGACCAGCTGCTCACAGGGGCTACCACACCGGTCTTAGCGCTCCTCTCTGGTTCCATGTCTTCCCAAGGTTTTCGGTTTGAGGAGTTTCTGCATTTTATAGGAAGTGATTGGCAGAGGATTCAAGATGATGCTGGCTGTTGACAGGGTGATTCACATGGTTGACGGATGTAGCCCCTTTTTTCTTTTATGTCCTCTGCACCTAGGACTTCCTCCATCAGGCAGCTGGCAGGACCTGAAGGATCACATGCGAGAAGCTGGGGATGTCTGTTACGCAGATGTGCAGAAGGATGGCATGGGGATGGTTGAATATCTCAGAAAAGAAGATATGGAATATGCCCTGCGTAAGCTGGATGACACCAAATTTCGCTCTCATGAGGTGAGTCCCCCTTGTCTGTTGTGGTGTTTGAACTATGGGCACTCTTCCTGAACCTTCCCTAGCCACCGGCTAGGCTTTTGCTGACAGAATCACAGTGTCATTGGTGCTCAGTTGAAGAACCAAGGGACTTGCCGTGCCCAAGCCCTGCGGGGTCATAGCTTAGACAGTTTTGCAGTCATAGTGTTTATAACTTGGAATGAAGCTAGCACCAGCTGCCAGTGTGGTGAGTTGTTCTGTGTTGCCCTTTCACAATTGGCACAAGATGTCAGGAACATAACTGACGTGGTCAACTCTTTGGTTCCAGACTGAGCTCTACAGGGTGGCCTGGTCGTCAGCCCTTCTAGTTCCCGCTGTGCCTGAATTGCTACTTTCCAAAAGTACAGGATCGTTTTGGAAACCTGGACCGGCTTGTCATTTTCTTTTGGTCACTTTTGGGCCTGGTACTGTTGCTGACTCTCCATATGATTTGAGTTGGGGTTGCTCCCTTTTAGTACCATTGAGAGCTGAGACCAGACTACTAATAGGACTGGTTTTTTTCCTTCCCTCTTTATCAACTCTGACTAGGTTGGTGGGGGTCTCTGGACTGGTGTCTTTTCTTTATGGATAGTGTAATTGCTGCTGTTGGCACAGCTGAACTAGGCTTTCGCTTAGACTGTCCTCTAGGACTTGGGTTTGAAGCAGAAAGCATCAGCACCTGCCCTTCGGTTACACTGCACAGCAGGGCCTCCACTGGGTGAATCCTATGGCTGGCCATCTGGGGGAGTAGCACATGCCTTCTTTCACCTCCAGCATTTTTAGGTCATCTGAGACTGCTGGGAGACAGGCAACCTGGATTGACTTGCTTCTTAGTAATCTCTTAGCCAAGCTTCTTTCTGGCCCCGGTATCCCCAGATGCAAAATGGTCATAAGAATACCACTGGGATATAACTAGATTGTCTAGCCCAGGTGTGGGCACATGGGGAGATGTTGAAAGTAGTTGGTCCTTCCTTCATGCTTATTCCAGAGATATGTTGGATGAGATTGCAGCAAACTGACTTCTGAGAACCTTTCCAAGTTCAGGAGCAGTAAATTTGCGTGTTAACAATTAGAGCTAATATTTGGGCATTTATCACAAGCCAGGCAACCACTTAATGTAGCAAATTGCTTCATCTTTGAAATGAGGATTGAAAGAAATGTCTACTGTGAATTTAACAAGATAGTTTACACAAAGTGGCATGCCAGGCCCTGTTATGTTAACTGTTACTGTTAATTGTTAGCCAGCCATGTTGGGTACAGATCTGCCTCCTTTTATGAGTTTTTAAGTTTATTAATCTGGCGTTAATATACGTATACCATGCCATAGTTCAGTCATGTCAAGCAATATTGTACAATTGATACCATGATCACTTCTAAATATTCTTTTTCTTGCTGTACTCCTTGACATCCCTCCCCCTTTTTTTAAATTTAGTTTCTTAATCTTTGCTTTTTGTTTGGATTTCAGGGTGAAACATCCTACATCCGAGTTTATCCAGAGAGAAGCACCAGCTATGGCTACTCACGGTCTCGGTCTGGGTCACGGGGCCGTGACTCTCCATACCAAAGCAGGGGTTCCCCACACTACTATTCTCCTTTCCGGCCCTATTGAGAAAGCAGGCAGTGGAAATTTGTTCTTTATTTTTTAGTGTGACCTGAGCTGCTTTGTGCTCAGAATCTACATTCCAGATTGATGCTTTAGTGTCTTAGGAAAATTTTTTAATTTTTCTTTTTTTTTTTTTAAGGAAAAATAAAAACCTAAAAAATGACAATTTCTACCAGGGCCATATTAGCAGTGGAACATTTTAAGCTGCCGAAATTGTGGTTTTGGTTCAGAAACAAGTTGTATATTTTTCACCCGATTATAGGGAAAAAAATCAGTGCTGTGTCTTTGTGGGTTGCTCTGCTATGGAGATCAGCAGTAACTGTGAGTTGGCCCATTCTGTTTAGAAATATATTTTAAACGTTTAGTAATTGACATGTCTGATTGTTCTTGATTAAGTTCGCAGATGTCCCCAAACAGGTGACTGGTTTGTAAAGACCACTAAGTAGTTGCAGCACCTTGTGCCCATTTAGTAAGAAGCAGGGATGTGACTTTATGTGGAGAGAAACTAACCAACCAAAATTCAAGGCTCGAGTCGATACTGACTCATAGCAACCCTCTAGGACAGTAGGACTGCCTCTGAGTCTCTGTGTTGGGGTATCTTTACAGGAGTAAAAAGCACCCCCCCACCCCCAATCTCCTGAAGAGCTGCTGTGGTTTCAAACTGCTGACCTTGAGGATCGTAGCCCAACGAGTAACCACTGCACCACCAAGGCTCCAAAAGAGCAATCAGGGTTCTCTGAATTCAGGGCCAAGCTTATTGAGCAGCCTGCCTTTAAGTAAAAGCATTGTACACAGGGAATGGGAAGAGTGAAAATGGGCTTCCCTCCCCCACAAATTGGGAGCAGCACAGAGATCACTGCGACTGGTGTATATATTGGTTGGGGGTGGAGAATCGGTTCTGGCTCTTTATCTCATCCATCATATCCAACCCTTTTCTGCAAACACAACATCTTAGATTTATTTCACGTCACAATCATTGCAGGGTAGAGGAAAATAGGGGTTGGGGAGCAGGAGTTACTGCCTTGGGTGAGAGTTCTCATCTCAGAATGAAACTTTTACATGTGGTAGACATCTTTTTTTGCATGTTATCACCATAATCTATTTCGAACGGTTCTCAGACTTTAGGCAAAGTTAGCCCTGCCTGGAGTCTAGTGAGTATCTAGTGACAAGTCTGAGAAAGTTCTGTTAGAGGAAAGGCTGATTGTTTCTCAGGTCAAAAGAAAGCAGCTCAAAATGGTAACTCAGGTTGTCACCTGGTGAGTGATCATATCGCATTGCCACTTGAGGAACCGAAAAACTTGACTGAATTTGGGACGTAGCTTTTTTGTGGGAGGTGGGGAGAGAGGTGAGGGAGACGATGTCATAGGCCAGGTGGGTAAGTGAACACTGGATACCTTTCCTCCAAAGCTGATAAGGCCTCGTGTCCACTACCACCAGGAATTCAGTGCTTCCCCAGTTCTGCCTTCAGAAGAGTCCGTTATTGAACACTGTTAGTCCATTTTTGTCGGGTGACTGAGCAAAATGGGAATGTTAATGTTTACAGGTTACTCCCTTTGTGGCCTTGAGGGGGTTCTTTATCTTCCAGCTTTGCCGGTGAGATATTACCTGTTTGAAACCAATAGCAAAAAAAAAAAAATGTTATAGCTGAGCCTGCTGCCCAATTGGCTTTACTAAATTAAATGCTTAGTCTGCTTTAGAAAATGAGCCTAGCTGCCATCTTGTTGAAGGCCCACTTTCTAATAAATGAAAGACACAAAATAGCCATATATCTGAGTGAAAGGGAAGACTGAGCCAAGCAGCTAGGTCTGAAGTGTGAGCTCCGATTGGTGGACATAAAAGCAGCAGACAACTCAACGTGTCTGTGACAAAGCAGTTAGAAAAGAGTAATTCGGTGAATTGGATACCCTTCAGAGTATAGTAAACATCTTTTCAAGCTTTCTATTGCTCATTTGGTCTATGTAGTTCCTACCTTCTTTGCTTAGTTCATATTGATTTATGTGAAGCCACTCTGGCTAGCATACCTGAAGGGGCCACATACCTGGAGGGGCCACGAAATACTCCTCCACGACCCGTTGAGAGTTCTGAAGTAGTTTTTCAACACAGTTGCCTTCTTTTATGTCATCAGATCTCAGGTACAGGCACCTACAAAACCCAGAATCTCAAGGTGACCCTTGGGAGTGTCAAGAGTGGCCATGCTCAAAGATGGAACTACAGTCAATAGACCAAATAACTTTCTAGGCTGTTCCAAATTCCACAAGGGCTATGAATGGATGCTGTGGTTGGTGCCTTTGGGTAGAGACCAGAGAAGGGACAATTAGAACAATGTTAGATCTAATAGGTGAACAAAGCCTGCCACCAGAATACCAAGGGGCACAAGCCTGGCCTGGGTGATGAGGGGTGGGGGGGGGGCAGTAAGCACTCAGAATAGGCAGTGCCATTGCTGACTAGTGAAGGGTGGACAAGCTCTAGTTGGAAGTTCAAAAACCAAACGCTGCTACTGAGTCAAATCCAACTCCTGGCAACACTACATAGGCTTTCTGAGGCTGTAAATCCTTTCAGGAGCAGCAGGTGGGTTTGATCCATCAGCCTTGTAGTTAGTACATTCACCAAAGCTAATTGGATTGGAGAATAAAATATTTGACAGGAAGAACCATGTGACCCCAAAGCATGTGAGCCTGCACACTCCGAGGAGGACAGCAGACGTGCTCTAGTGTGGTTGTAAGTGACTTTGTTTTGACCCCATGACAACTGGGAGTGACCTGAGTACCTCTGGGTCTGGCACACCTAAATCAAGTGCTTCATCAAAGTAGCCTTGGTGGATATAAAAATGCCTGCCCTGGAACAAGATGTGACAGCAGCTCAAGGGTTCCCACTGGCTTCACTGGTGTCCAAAGTGTAAACTGGTATAAAAACGGAAGCCCGAGCACACAGGAGGCCTCGTCATTAAGGTTTGGAAGTGCACCGAGGTCAGCCTGCTCTGCTTGCTACCTCCCTGCTGTGAACCAGGCCTAGGTCATCTAGAGCCTGACTCCATAACAAGAGCATTTGGTTAAGAGGGCTCAAGTTGGACGTTAAGATGCTTTTAAGAGTGTTTTGTTGCCCTCTGGCATGCAGCCCAGGGCTTGACGCATTTATTTGTGGTTTGGAAAGTGGAGAGCTGGCATCTGTTCCTCTAGGACCTGCCCCTGGTACAGCCTCAACAACAAAGACATCCTCCAGAACAAAACAACTTCTGGCCTCAAGCAAGGTCTTTCCAGACTTTAAATATCCAACCATTGACGGTTGAACTAGATTCTCAATAGGGTTTTCTTGTTTTCGTTGAAAGTGCACACAGCAGGAGCATGCACCTGGTTCAACAAGTTCACACACAATCCAGAAACAGATGACATTCAAGTTGTGCAGCTGTTCTCGCCTAGCTTGCTCTTCTTAACCCCAAAGGAATGACGCACCCACTGTAGAAAATTTGGAAAGCAATGAGAGCCCTCCCTCTCTCACACAGGTAACCCCTGGGCGGCTCACCTTTTTCTGTGAGGCAGTTTTAAATGGCAGAGCGTTTTGGCTCTGGAGTCAGAACATGTGCAGGTCACTCGGCTTCACCATAATTCAGCTCCCTCTTGTAGAATGTTTCTGCACCATTTTGCTGGGAAAATTACATGATCTTAATAAACAACGATCTGACAGCAACTGCTCCATTTTCAGGGCAAGAGGAGGGTGCTGAGTGCCAGCTGAGTGCTCTGCTTTCAGGAGAGTTGGCGCACCCCAGGTGCACCTCAGTCCCCACCAATCAAATGTACCTGTGCACTTACCCCAACCCACATCATTTAGAGAAGGTTACTAATTGTTATTGGACATTTGGAGCTTGGTAAAACAAGACTACTACCCCAGCAGTGGGTGATGAGGCTGCTTTCCCACTGGTAGATCTAATAAGTGCTTTTTCCAGCATCATGTAGAAATCAGGTTTTCTATTATAAATACAATTTCCAGGGGGAGAAAATTCAGCCCTTTAAAAATCATTTCCACTTAATGACTATAGATGGGGTTATTTCGAGAATTGAACCTTATCTGCCTAGTTCCTTAATTGTAGGCTAGTGGGTTTCTGTGGTGGCAGCACACCAAGCACCTTAGCAAGCTGCTCAACTTTTCCGGACTTCAGAACAATGTGTGGAGATTCAGACCCTGCCAGGCTGAACTCGAAATGTCTGCCAACCCACTGTCATTGACAAAATGTCTACCGCACTTCTTGTCACTCTCAATGGGCTGCACTAGAGAACTTAAATGTAGTCCTAATCCCCAAAGACACCAACAATGATAGATCGACTTCTCTGCATTGGGATTAGCATTCATCTCCACTTCCAGGAAGATATCCACTACCATGGTCGACCTTCATTCGGCTCTCTGTACTTCCTCTGGACTACATGCCACTTGACCAAATGCCACCAGGCATTCTATGCCCTCCTCGCCATTGATTTTAGATCTCTTGTTCCCTTGTCCCTGGGTTTGTTGGTTCCCCTCTCCTCCACCATCCCCAGCAATGGGTTTTTGGTTTTTTTGTGTTTCTGTTTCAGTCCCAAATAATGAAAACACTCACCCAGTAAGCATTGACTTAATGTCTTTGTGCTAAACACTGAAAACATAAAATCAGACACGATCACTGAAGTTTGTGTGGAGAGGGGAAGATACTCAAAATGTCAAGCAAATAAAACAAACCTCATATAAAATAACAGCTCTGTTGAGCACCAAGAGAGACACATGGTGTCCTGAAAGGGGACTTGACTCAGGCTATAAAGACTGAGGAAGTGACCGTTGAGATCTGAAAAAAGGAAATTAGGCAAAAAAGGCATGGGTGGGATGAGACATGA